CATTGTATGTTGGGTGTTTGGGGGGTAAGTTACCGGTTTCCTTAGCAACACAGGTCTACAGATCATGAGGAACTAAATCCAAGGAGCCTCATTTGTATCTGGACTTGATTTAAATGATGATTTTCTGGGCTTTGAACTCATGCAATAATAAGACAAAATTCTGGGGATCCTAGAAAGGGGCTGAGTATATATTACATGACAGCAACATGGCTCATTGGGGGCCAGAGGTTGGACTGTGGTAGGCAGACTATAAGAGGGCCCTCAAAGACCCCAGCTTCCTTGTAGGCTGTGTAATCCTATTCCCTGAAGGTGGACTGAATTTACTTCTAACAATTAGAATATGGCAGAAGTGATGGGATATCACTTTCAAGATTAAGTTATAAACAGACTGTGGCTTCTATCAAAGCCTTTAGATCAGACAATAGTCCCAGCCAACAACTTGGCTGCAACTTCTTTAGAGACCTTGAGCCAGAGGTACCCAGCTAAGTCACTCCTGGATATCCATGCTCCTGTGAGATAATAAATGCTTGTTGTTTTACACTGCTAAGATTTTGTTTAATGTATTATGCAGCAACAGATAACTAATACACAACCTTCATCAAGTAATAAATATTAACATCATTAGTAATGGGACATATCAAAACCATGTTCCACCTGAAAGGATGCAACAAGGAGCAGAGAGCATTACCTATGTGATATACCTGACAAAGATGCATATTCTGGATTTGTTCATAAGGAAACATCAGACAAACCCAATATGAAGGACATTCTAAAAAATAACTGGCCAGAAAATTTCAAAACTGTTAGAGTCATGGAAGTCAAGAAAAGGTAAGAAACTGTTCCAGATTGAAGGAAACTAAACAGATCTGGCATTTAAATGCGATATGTGATTTTGACCTTAAACGTTTTGTTATATATGACATTATTGAGCCAATTGATGAAGCTTGAATGGGATCTAAGAATCAGATTGCAATAATACATTAATGTTAATTTCCTGGTTTTAATCATTACATTTTGGCTATATAAGGAAATGTTTTTATTTGTAGAAAACATCAACATTCTATTTCCAATTTCCTGACAAAGACTCTGCTTATGTAGGCATAGATAGAAGCCAATGATAGTTTACCTGTTCCTACTCATATACTACTTGAACTGCTCTCTGTGGCCGTGCCTGGCTCACGGGATAACAAGACTATATCTTGGTTTTTCTCCTATGGCACTTTTGTGAAAGCAAGGAAGTAGGGAGATTTATACATGTTTCTAAGTTATAATAATGATGTAATAAGTTAAAGTTGACTATAGTTACAGTCTTTACTATTTTTTTCTTGGATCAAATAGTAAACAATACTATACAAAGTTACTGTAATGGTTAAATAAAATAGGGAGTGCAAATCTCTAGTTAGATTATCCAGCCTCTAATTATTGCTCAAGAAATGGGAGATCTTACTACATAAATTATCATTCATAATTGACATCTACTAAAAGGTGTCATAGAGACCTGGTTATGAATAGTCCAATCAGCTGCCTCAAAAATGTCTTAGCTCAGATAGAGGAAGATAATATAAGTACGAATATGGATTTAAAGATTTTAAATCTGACGGCACTCTAGGAAAAGTAACTTAAACTGCATACCCTACTGATGCATAACCATCAGAGACTACAGAGGGCACATTACTGTAATTCATTGTTACTCTAGTGATCTTAAAGAATTAAGACCACATTCATAACGTCCAAATTTGTCTCCAAGGAGTAACTTTGAGTTGGGGAATATCTGGATCATTAAGTAATTTCCTTAGGTCAGAGTAAAAGCACTTTATCTGTGAATATTACTTTCATGGCATATTAGATGTAGCACAAGTTAGTAACAAAGTGACCTTTCTCTTAAATGATTCAGAGATTCACGAGAATTTTCTTCAACTTTTGAGAACTAAATATATTCCATAGTCTTAAAAGTCTTAAATATTGATTTTCCTCTGAAATCTCTACCCTACTCTGCTCACCATCATCTTCCCTTTGTACAGTTATGTTCTTTGTAATTTTCACTTTAGTTAATTTTCATTCCAGGTTTAATTGTTCATCATATTTTCAGGTGCATAATCCATTATTGCTAAATTGACTTTTGCATAATAAACTTGGTTTTGATGTCCAAATATTTGTTGACTTTTTTGTAATACAAAATAAGCTATTTTACTATATGTATTTTTAGTTGGTTGACTCTTTTCTTTTTTCTTTTTTTTTTTTGGTGAGGAAGACTGTCTCTGAGCTAACATCCATTGCCAATCTTCCTCCTTTTCCTGAGGAAGATTAACCCTGAGCTAACATCTGTGCCCATCTTCCCCTACTTTGCATGTGGGATGCCACCACAGCACGTCTTGATGAGCAGTGCGTAGGTCCACGCCTGGGATCCGAACCCGCGAACCCTGAGCTGCTATAGCAGAGCCTGTGAACTTAACCACTACACATCCCACCCTGAATGCCCTGATTCTTTTCTTTTATTGAAAATGGAATAGCAACATTCTCAATTATTGGGAAAGAGTTATTTCCTAGAGAATACCTCAAACACGGATGTATAAAACCAACAGTGAGATTTGCCACAACAATAGCTATATCGCCTAGTATACCATGGTGAGCTCCATCTGGTCTTGACCAAAAATTATTTTGATATTCCCAGGAAAATGATACAGAGGCAGGAATTGCCTAGATCAGATGTGGGAAAAGAAAATAGAAAAAAGAATAATCACTGAGCAAAGCGACTTAGAGCCGTGAACCATTTCCATACGGTAAGAAGAGCATGCTTGGGAATGGAGATCAGGCACTCTAGGAACACTAATGTGACGTCTGTATGCACAGTAGGTTTGGGTTAGCTTTAGCTTGGTCATGTAAAAGCAGAAACAACAAATACCACGAATCCAATTGAGTCTCCTGTGTTTTTTGTTTATATGTGTACAGGCAGGATTGTGGAGAATCCTGGGCAAAAGTAGTGCATGGTAGATATTTAATTTGTAGGTGGTGTTCATGCTTCTTAGTATTTATCTGAAAAAAGAATATTATGTAAATGTAATCCAAGAATACCTGGGTGAACTCATAGCATGTGATGTGGTTTCACATTCAAAAGAAATACTCTTCTGTTATTAAAAAAAAAATTAAAAAGAGAGTGTGCATTGAAAATAGGTTTAAATATTTACTGAATTCTCTTGAATAATCAATGAGAAATTTTGGTTATGGCACATGGCAAAACATTTTAAAGAACCTAGTCTTCCTTAGATCTTCCTGATACCTCATGGCTGCACAGCAAATTATGTCTCACCTCAATACCACGCAAAAGCTGGGACCACCTTGTTCTCTTATTCACCTACCCCTCACCTGATTTTCCAGATTTATTTCTCTCTTAAGGCACTAGCTGCAAACTCATTACATAAGGGCTCAGACTCTGCAGCCCTACCCTTTATTCTAATTGGCACAACAAAAGACCTTATTGTTTATCTAATAAGACAGAATTTTCTAATACTGTAGAGGAATGTTTGTATTTGCTTTAGGGATGCTGTTTCAGTAATAAAGAGTCACCCAGGGTCATGAATTCATGTAAATATTTCTAATTTACATGAAGTAAGCACCAGATTAAACCACTTATGTACTAAATAGCATTGTCTTCCTAAAAGTCTTACATTCTCTCAAAATATTACCTTCATTTTTCTCCTCCTGCAAAATCAAGGCACAATTAAAAAAATAGCTTTCCTCATTTTCAGGGACTATTTTCTAATAAGAAATATTGCTTCCCAATTGTACTTCTAAATCTCTAGCAATCATAGCGTCGCATAAAATAGGCAGCTTAAAAAATGTAGCGGAAACTGAATAACAGATTTGCAGCCCTGAGTATGCACACTAAAATTTTAAATCTAAGTGAACTACTCTAAGCTGATTTCTCAGGTCAAGGAGAGAATATGGTCTTTGAATGCTTGATAAGGTCACAGACACAATTTCAAGTGCATTTATGGTAAATCCATGTGACAACTCCTACAGGCTCTCACCTGCTTCTGCCCTCAGGGTAGTCTGTGCAATCTTCTCTGCATGTCTGGGATAGTTGTGGGGGCAACAGAAGCCCTCTGAGGAATGTCAGACTTAGAAAATATTAGCAATGACTCACATACGAGTTTCAAGTTGTAACCTAGAAGTGATGAGTAGCTTTAACTTACGAATGTGCTAGAAACCAGAAATTACTTTGAAATAGATTGAAGGATGGCAGTGGTGACTGAGGAATAAAAGTTATCATTTAAAATTGTCATTAAAGCTGGAATCCTTAATTCATTGACCTTAAAATACATATTATATGGCTTTGTAACTTTAGGTTGACGTTGAAATGTGAATTTATATTATATTTAAAATATAAAGAATGATGATGATAATATAGCTAATTGTAAATTTATTCTAATAATGACCTCACAATGATATTTGCTTCCGGTTTGATGACATAACACTATGAGTTACTTATAGCTGTAAAGGAAACAATATCATCCTTCTGGAATCTCTATCAATAGCTACAAAGGAGGCAACACACCCCTTTCTGGACCACTTCCAGAGTCAGATGCAATACATACTTTAGATAATTTACTTTGAGCCAAGAATTACTATCTGGTATTTGGTGGGTAAAGTATTTACCTCCAGCACCATGTAGGCATCTAGAATTATAATGACAATTAATTTCAGTACAAAGTGAGTTTTGTACTTAAAGTGCAAAGGAATTCTATGAGTTTAGGGAAATGCAAAGATTGGAAAATAGAGAAGAATGTTATAAATTCTAAATATTTATGTATCTATTTATATATTTAGAATGGATCCGAAAGGAAAATATTAAATTGAAAAAAAGTTGAAAAAAATAGATGAAAATGATTGTATCTTCTACAGTAGAAGAATTTTCTGGGTTACAAATAAGAAGTTTACATCAACCTGCAGAAAATAAATGTTGAAAAGGCCTCATAGCATCTGACAGAATTTTGATTTGCCTACTCACCCACAGGAGACATTTCCGGAACACTTGCAACATAAGGTCCATCCAAAAACTTTGGCTCATTATCATTAATATCCTGTACTTTGATGATGAATTCTGATTCAGGCTCCAGGGGCTTCCTGGTTTCTATGTCCACAGCCTGAGCTCGAAGTGTGTAGAAAGGTTTTTCTTCTCTGTCTAGGCTCCTTATTGCATGAATGTCCCCAGTGGTCTCATCAATGGTAAAAACGGTGCCAGCGCCATCTCCTGAGAGGGTGTATTTAACAGTACCCTCTCCCTTATCTAGGTCGGAATGGAGCTTTAGAGAGAGACAGGGAAAGAGAGAGAGAGAACACCATTAAAGGAATGGTCCCCTGTTAAAAAATGCTTGCGGTATAATTTTTTATCGGTAAAGTTAAAGAAAAACCTTATGGTTCTTCTTGTCTTTTTTTCCACTGACGTTTCGACTATAAATTTTTTTGTGTGTGTGTGAGGAAGATTGGCTCTGAGCTAACATCTGTTGCCCATCTTCCTCTTTTTGCTTGAGGAAGATTTGCCCTGAGCTAACATCTGTGCCAATCCTCCTGTATTTTGTATGTGGGACACTGCCACAGCATGGCTGACGAGTGGTTTACGTCTGCGCCCAGGATCTGAACCTGCGAACCCAGGCCACTGAAGCGGAGCACATGAACTTAACCACGAGGCCATGGGGCTGGCCCCTAAATATTTTAAACACACAGAAAAGGTGAAAAAATGTGTGGTGAACATCTGTATATATCTATATATCCCAGAGATTCCACCATTCACCTTTTAATCTACTTGACTGATCACATAGATAGATCACATATCTATCCTTCCATTCATCCTTCTGTCAATCCATATTATTCCCTGATGCATTATGAAGATCAGAAGTACAGCTCCCAAATACATCAACATGCATAAACACAACTAATTTGAACACTTGTATTTACTTCTTTTTATGCTTCTGGCAATAAAATTTTCATAAAATGAAATGCACAAACCTTAAATGTATTTATTGTTTCATTTTAAACAATTGTGGTAATAAAAATAAATTCGCTCATAAATATCAAATCATAAACTCTCCAAATGTCCTGAAGGTAGAAATCAATAACCTAAATCCAGTGAGAGAGAAAGTAAAAGAACTCAGAAAAGATTGAGCATTTTCATCTGAAATGAGAGGAGACTTTTGACACACCATGAAGTTTTCAGTTATGTATGTAGAGAATCTCATTTTAACAGACTGAGTTTCAATGAGCTATTCAATATTACTCAGCCAAATGATGGGTAGAATCCTTGATTATCCTTTCAGATTCACAAATAAATGGCTTGTTCTAATTCTTTCTATATATTTGAAACCTTATAATATAGAAAAGATTTGAAATTCTGCTAATTTCTTTTGAAATTCAACAGATGTATAATTCACTATATTATGGCATGAAATAAGGTACACATACATAGCATAGGAGAGAGGACCAAAGAGAAGAGAAATTATTATTGTGCTAATGTAAGTCAGTGTTTTTTAAACTGGAGTCCAAGAATTAACGGAAGACAGACATAATCTTGGAGATCTGTAAATTATCCAATAATGTATATATATAATATAAATATTACTTTGCATATAATTCTCTAAGAATATGGAAACTCATAAATACATATTTCTATAAATAATATATACATTCTCTTTAAATTATATAGCATATACATTCTTATGAATATTATTTTTCATTCAGATATTGATCTAAAATGTTTTAAACTATTCTCACTCATTTGAATACAGCCATCTAATTTCAATGTCCAAGTTTTTATATTTAAAAGCTCATTTGTCAACAGATCAGCCAAAGAAAAAATGTTAAACTTGTAAAGTGTCGGTGGACACAGCTCACTTCCAAAATTTTGGGTAAGAATGAGTTCTATTTTTCTTTTTGTTTTCTTTTGTTTTTCTCTTTTGCAGAGAAGGATTTGCCCTAAGGTAAAATCTGTTGTCAATATTCTCCTTTTTTTTTTCTCACCAAAGCCCCAGTGCATGGTTGTATATCCTAGTTGTAAGTCCTTCTAGTTCTTCTATGTGAGCCGCCACCACAGTGTGGCAACTGACAGATGGGTGGTATGTTTGCGCGACCGGGAACCGAACCTGGGCTCTCACCGAAGCGGTGAGAGCGCCAAACTTTAACCGCTAGGCCACCAGGGCTGGCTCTGAATTCTGTTCTTCTTAATGTTTTCAACACATACAAAAAAAACCTTTGAAAATATTTTCAGTTATATATTCTTTTGCAAATAGGCTCTGTGTATTAGTAATACCAAAATACAAAAACACAAACCTAACTGTGGTTACTTCTTTGTTCTTAAACTCATCATTCTGGTATAGGTTCAGTAAAATAACATCATCCCTCCAATTGTTATTAAAATGAATTTATTCATTTTGTGAGTTTGTATTTACTTCAAAATTTGCTCTGAAAATATATTTGTATAAGAGCATAAGCAAACGATTTATACCTGGGTAAGTGATATAATTTAAAAAATGAGAAAACAATAAGGGAACGGGATACAAGATTCTGATTTTTCTTTAATAGTTTCTATATATTTTACTCAAGTCTAAGGGAAATTGCCATGAATGACAAGAGGAACTTTTTTCCCTCTAATTTTTTACAACCTGCTATGAAGCATGGGAAATTTCAAGCATAAAATCAAGCTGCAGATAAATGTTCTTTGAACTTAGGAATTTCAAATTACAAATTTCAACCTTACTATTAAAGATATTCAACACAGGGGATATTGCTTTTGCTTTCAAATTTACCTAAAGATAGGAGACAGGCAAAAGCTCAATGCAAAAGCTATGACTTTATAAACTGGATCCAATTTGTCAACGGCTCAAAAGAATATGTGGTAATATTCTGGGAACCAAGTGAAAATTCCAAGTAGGTTTTTACAATGTGATCCAAGTGGAGTTACCAAAAAATCTTTATTTAGCTGAATTCAGAACTGTTTGCTTTTCAAACTGACATAAGAATAAAAAAGCCAATGTGTTTTCAGCTGTATCCGAGATCCAAAATAAATGCAGGGGCTGCTCCTCCTCGGTCTTCCACATTTTCCTTCTAAATTAAAGCTAAATTTTGTAAAGATTAAAGCTTCAGAAGACATATGTGAAAATATATTAAAATTTTGAACTGAAAGTGAAGTTGATTAATGTAAAACTCTTCTGAAGATTAGAAATTTTATAGCAGTTCATTGCCTGATAACTCCTTAAAGCAGATCCCCCGCAATGTCCCGAGTTGACAAGCAATATTTAAAATTAGCTCTTCAGTGTTGATTGAGTTGAGCACATGGATGACTAGCTTAAGTACAAGTGTTTTTCCAACATCAATTCTAACATTAAATAAATGATGCTGGCCTGATGTTGGGTATTGTTGAATTTTCTATCACAAATAAAATAAAAATCCCCACCATCCTCTTACCTACAGATAACTTCTTTTATCATTTTTATATACTTTCAGTTATATGTACTGATATATAAATGACTATATATAATACATGTATAACTGAATTTGTATACATATATAAATACATTTATATATACATTCAAATTTATATATAATATTGTCTGATTGTATATCCATATACACATAATATAAAAATAACAAGAAATGAGTCAACATTTTCAATATCAATATACCACAATCATTTTCCAGTGTCGCTTGAAATTCTTCAAAATTATTTTTAATGTCTGAATTATATTCATTCTAGGATGTTGAATGATTCAATGGGTTTTACTTATCCTTTCATAAACAATGCAATGAATGTGTGCGTGTATGTGTTCTGTTTAGTTCTTTAAAATAAAAGGATAATTATCAAGAGCAAAAATATGATAATTTTTATTAATCAAAAATTTTTGAATCTTGAATGATTCCAGAAATCGATCTCTATGGGTGAAATTGGTTTTGTAAATCTTTCAGCAACGGAATTCAGGCTTAGCTTACACTGTGAAGCTACTCCTTAGTCTTATTTGCATAAAGAAGGAGGGAGAGTTACAGAAGGGTTCATGTGTTTGGCCTCATCTTTGGGCTGAGTTAACTATGAAAAAAATCACTTTGCCATTTTATGCAGGGACTTTAAGCTACACATACATCAAGCTAATAATTCCACAAGGATAAAATTATTTTCCTTTGTAGCAATTTAAAAATGACAGCAAGAAATGTTTCTTATTCCCATTATTTAAAAAAAGCTGTTTCTGCGTAGGTGCTGAGTGTATTTACCGACTGAATCACCCAGCTCCGATAATATCATCTTTTAGTATTGACACTGAAAATAAAATTTCTCAAAAACAAATAAATAAATAAATAAATAAAATAAAATTTCTCCAAGCAACAGTTCCATAAATGACGGACGTAGAAGTATGCACTGTCTAGACAGTTGCTTTGTGGAAGTGGTGTTGTTATTTTCTGATGTTTTCCAAGTCAGCTCAAATGGAGCGTGAAAATAAGATGCCAAAAGAGACTTTAAAAACATACTGAGGACTAGCTTCAGAGTGGAAGCGAATCTGAATTCCGGTGCTTTAAATTTTTGAGAAAGCTAAAGTTAAGTGTTTACTAGCATCTCTCTGATTTTATTTCAGAAACTGCTGCACCAAATAAGGAGTTTATTCGTATTTGCTCTGGGTTGAAAAGGCCACATAAAATAGAAAATGCTTATATATTCCTACATCCATCTGTGATTTTATTTCCATTTACTATTCGCCAGGATAGGCGGTAGTTACTTGGCATGGGGAGACCATGGGGTGTGTTGGAAGGAGAAACTTCTAATTTTGAAAAGGTAGCTTTTGCATGAACACTAAAAATTATGTTCAATAAGTATTTGATTTCGTGTATATACCTACAGATTACTTTTTTTATGAAGCTGATTTTTTTTTTTTTTTTGAGGAACATTGGCCCGGCACTAACATCTGTTGCCAATCTTCCTCTTTTTTCTTTTTTCTCCCAAAAGCCCAGTATTTAGTTTTGTCTCATAGTTGTAGAGTTGTAGCTCTTCTATATGGGACGCCACCTCAGCATGGCTTGATGAGCGGTGAGTAGGTTTGCACCCAGGATCTGAACTGGCAAACCCCAGGTCCCCGAAGCAGCACGTGCGAACTTAACCACTATGCAACCAGGCCAGCCCCCGTACCTGTAGATTACTTTACTAATCATGTGTCCACAGATATTATGGTACATCACATACTGTTTTATAACCTGCTTTTCAGATGGATTATATTATGAACAATTTGCTGTATCAATAAGTATGAATTTATTACATCTATTTAAATTT